CCAGGAAAAACTGCTTGGCCTGATGTCCCTGCCAACCAAAGATCAGTATGAAGAACTGAAGAAGAGAAGACTGCATATGGTAAGACAGGTTAAGATCCACTGCATCATGCATCAGGCCTCCTTCAAAGGCTTAAGCCTCATAGCTGTATGTGCATGAGTAGTTGGATTTCAGTTTTTCATTTATTTTAATGCAGATCGCCCATACCCTCGTGTAACACAGTCACGGTATTCTGTCCAGAACATGTGGTGAGCAGCTGAACACCTCCAGAAAGCAGCAGTGACCTGGTGGCATGTGCTGCTTCTGCAGCCGTAAACTGAGTGTGTCAGTTCAGCCGGGTTTTCAAATTGTGTCCCGAAGTTCATTTGCACAAGTAGAATTTGGAGGCTGCTTTCGGTGGTGAAAAAGGATATATGGGAATAAGGATGCTTCTTAAGAGAAAGAGTTTTTTCGTTAGGAGGGAGGACATCAGTAATTGTAAACTAAAGCAGCTTTATCTTGAGGTAGAAGCTGAGAAATAAGAATTGTTGCGCTCCAAAAAGCTAATGATGTGGGTGACCTTTAACACAGATGCTCTATTACAGATGCCTGCTGTAGTTGCGTGTGATATGGTCACTGTCCAAATCAGTCTTGGGGCACTCTTTGCACAGTTGCATTTGGCATTTTTTGCTCTCTGTAAAGCACTGTCACTGCTCCTGCTTGCCCTTAAGGTTGTAGAAGCAGAAGTCATGGAATTTTGCTTAATATCATCACAAACAAACTGAAGGGAAACATTTAGGTAGTATTATGAAAACAAGCTTTTTCTGCAAAGTAACCAAAAATACAGCTGATCCCTTTCAGTGACAGCCAGCAATGTCTCAGATCAGTGAGCTGCTTGTACCTACAGATGTTGAGAACAGAATTTTTCGTGGTCATGGTGTTCTCTTAGCATGTGTTTTTCGCTTCAGGTGGCTCTCGAAACACGTGGAAAACAAGAAGAAAAGCAGAAAGACTTCATCTCCAGATCTGCAGCTGCAGTTAATGGTGATGCAACTCACCTGAAAAAAGAAAGTGTCAGGAAATCTGAAGGCTGGTTACCTATGTCTAGCATATCACGTGAGAGTGAGATAGCAGACCCTCTTCTTCAGCAGATCGACAATATCACATCCTTTATTCGGCAAGCAAAGGCCGCTAATAGGATAGACGAGGTCCATATGTTGCAAGAGAACCTCAGGCAGCTTCAGGATGAGTATGATCAACAACAAACTCTGAAAGCTATTGAGCTTTCTAAAAAGCAGGCAGAAGAGGAAGATATGCAGAGGGAGGAGCTTCAGGTGCTTCGTGAAAAAGAGTGGGAAAGAGAACACCACAAACTCATGTCTCAGCATTCAAGGACACGCTCCTTAGACTTCAAAGAAGTCAAGCAGCATCAGCAGAGACTTGCAAACGAGAACCTTAACTTGACAGCACGTGCGTTGGATTTGGATATTACTCAGATCAAAGGGGACCCAGGTTTTGAAACTCCTGCTGTTGAGCGGCTGCCAGCTAAAGAGCACTTGATCTTCACACTCACACCCCGGAATGTCCCACAGGGCGACAAAGCCCAAGTTCAGACAGCTGGTCTAAACCCCTTTGAAGATGATGCAGATACCCCTCAGTTAGAGGAAGATCCTGCTAACCCATTTGCCAAAGACACTTCTCCAATGGTTTCTTTCTCTAACACAGCTCTGCAAAGTGATAAAAAGGAATATAATCCATTTGAAAATGAGGAGGAGGAACAAACTAATGGAGCACCTGGCAGTTCTTCAAACCCTTTTGAAGAGGATGAAAATCCCTTTCAAAAGCCTGGGGGCAGCTGGAATTCTGGGAATCCATTTGAAGAGGGATCCTCTACCAATCCCTTTGAAGTGGAGGATGGCAATGAGATCTCTGGAGAGGAGGCTATAGAGGAAGAACTGCTTCTTCAACAGATAGATAATATCAAAGCTTATATATTTGATGCCAAACATAGTGGACGAATGGACGAGGTGGAGGTACTGACAGAGAACTTAAAGGAATTGAAACGCACACTAGCAAAGCAGAAGGAGAAATCCAACTGCTGAAGCAGTAGGGCTGGGTAACCATTATTTTAAATCTGCTATGAAATATGGGAAGGTAGAGCAGATAGATACTTACAAAGAGGAGCAGAGATTACAAGAGGGAATTGGGAGAATCTTGACTTTCATGCACTTTCAGTTAGGCATTTCCACTACTACTCAGTCTTGAGGAAGGACTCACTGAGGGGTGCTGCTGGTCCCAGACACTTGTGCTAAGGAATTCTGGAATGACTTGTTACAACAACACTCAGTGCTGCCCGGTCTTTTGGTGCGTTTATTTTGGTCAAAGTGGCTAAGTGCTAATAGGGAACTATGATTTGGAAATGGTTGCAATGTTGGTTGTCCTCTTTCTCCCTTTCTGTTACAATAGTATTGGCCTTTCGCATGGGGCTTTGACTAAAGAGAGACAAAAACTTCTCTTCAAGTTCTGCATTATCCCAGTAATGTCAGGCTACCGTGCCGGATGGTGTTAGCAGAAAGTGCTGTTAAAAGGCTACTGTGGGTCTTTGAGGTGCAGAATATACAGATCAATTCCATGCAATGCCAATATGTAAAAGTGATTTTAAGACTGAGAACTTTCTAACTGATCTTAACACGAGTGACTTTTTAATGTGTTTATAAAAATTTGGATGCTGTCTTTTCATCACCTTTAGTTTCCTTTTTGCCCTGAGCACAAACTACAATTAACAGAGCATGCTGGGCTGGCTTCAGAGCCCTGCTTGAGGGAGCAAGTACCTACTCATTTCCAGGGAGAAGAGCATCAGGCTGGCACCATTTCAGACTACAGTAGGAGTGACCCTCCAATTCCTAATTATCTTACAGAATCTGCACATTCCTGTAAATTCTCTGGGTGACAGAATGATCATGTGCGTCCTATTTGAGAGACTGGAACCCTCTTTTTGTAACACTCAAGGAACAGAAATCCTGTTTACAATGGAGAGCTGAAGTGCCACTGAACTGGAGCTCTCTGAAAGCTGAGAGACAGTCTGTGGCTGCGATAGGGCCAAACAGCAATTGTTTCATAATCTTATTCCCTTTGGAAGTTGTTCTGACAATTGGGCATGTCTCTTTTAAGTAAGAAGCTCCAAACTGGAGTGATCTTGAGATCCTGTGGTCCAGCGGTTGCCCAGGTGATGGCCAGCCCTGCTGATGCGGGAGGGCTTAGAGCTGGGCTCTGAAGGTTGGTATCAGAAATGTGGGATCCCTTCAGGGTTAGGTCAGGCTTTGTCTTTCCAAGAGATGGGAGTTTGAGCTGCCTGGATTTTTATCTATGAATGGCAGAGGTCCATCATCAGGCATTGGTGTGTGAAAGGGTGGAAGGGAGGTGTACATATTTAAAGTTGAAACAGAGGAAATCATACAGATCACACTGCACAGCACTATTAATAGTGGGCTTACTCAGAAGTGTAAACTTCTGTGGAATGGGATATGTGTTAACTAAGGCTCTGACAATACATACTAATTAGCACAGCTGTAACCCAAGCATTGTGTAACATTTGAGAGACACAAATAATTGCACTTACCTGAAGAGCAGGAACTCTGGTTTTAGTTTGCTAGAAATCAATGGAGGAAGGGACTTGCGGAACTCTTGTTTAAAAAACCCAAACCACCTCCTCACTTAACTAGCACTAGTAACTGATCAAAATAACTTATGAGCAGCCAGTTAAAGACAGTTGATGTTCTTACTGTAGCCTAAACCTGAAAGGTGTGCAGAACAAGACCATGAAGTTTTTATACCAAGATTTTTTATTAGAGCTGATTTTGAGTCCCTGAGTGTTACTTAGCACCAGGTCAAAGGAGCACAGGATTCTCAAAGGTCATAAACTAATAAACTGTGCACTGTGGCACCAGGTTTACCAAGGCAGTAGAAAACAGATGTTAAGACAGCGAAACGTAACCCCTGGAACTGTTTCCACAGAAGCAGCGTAAGGTAGGTATTGACGGCCGTTTGCTGTCAGGTCTGTGTCCTGCACTGTAACCCAGAGCTGGTTTGGAACCAACATGAAAAACAAAGTTTCAGTGGATTCAGCTTCCACGGTTTAAAAGTGGTTTTTCCTTGTTGCATCTACCCTGCCTTGTTTGTATTTTCAGTCTAATACACTAATAATTATAGTATCCTTATTGTACATGTATTTTTACAAGCAGATAACAGACTAGCATACCTCATCTTTGTCAGTGTTAAATGTGATAGACTAGACACCTCATACGTGAAGCCATCTCCAAAGTGAAGACGTTATGCTGGTATTGGGGCTGTTGCGAGGCTCACAAGGCACAAGGGAATGAAGACATCTTATCCGTAAAGCTCAGTAAATGACGAGCACTGACTCTGGTGAAAGCTGCATGCGCTGCTCTGTGCGGGAACTTTGTAAAGAGATGAAATAAACCAACATGTTTATTTTGTGCTGTGTTCGGCCTGGACCGTTCCTACAGGACAGGTGAAGTGGGGTAAAGTTCTGTATTCGGCCGTTAGCTCCACAGGGAGCTGCCCCGAGAGCCTGACTGGAAGGTGCAGTTACCAAATTCCAAGCAATCTGGGACACAGGTTTATCTGCTATTAGAGTGTGACTGCTGGGTGAGGATGAAGCTATGATGGTTCATAAGCGACTTTTAGTCCAGTCTCTATTCCGAATCAAACACGATCTGGTTATATATAACCTTAGACATGCAGGCACGAGTAGGGAATAGTCTTTGTTTCCCTTGTTCTGTTTTCCTTACATGCAGTGTTGACTGTAATGCTTTGCAAAACGGGTACCAAAAAAAGCTGGGTTTCAACTTCTATTTATTTTTCACTTTAATTATTCTAACTGTAGCTTCGAGAAGACTTGGGAGACAAAGTTACGTGTATTATATGAATTTGTTTGTTCCTGTTTCCAGGAGCTTTCAGCTCTTTTTCCCATTGAAGAAAAACAACTGCATGGCTTGAGCTTTCAGGCTGACGCTTCATTTTTCAGTGCAGCTTTGTATTTTCCCCTCATCTCTTTGGGCAGTGGCACAAAAGCAGGGCAGGGGACCTGGCCTTCAATTTCACACATGCATTCTCGCAGGTGGTACTTTCTGGGCCCAAATGTTGCTGGATGTGAGAGTTTTTTCTTTTCCCTCTCTTCTTTTTCAAGTGTTTCTCTAGGAACAAGATCTGTTTGTTACTATCAGCAGCCTGAGTGGCGACATTCCCTCTCCCTTCCCTGGCCCCAGTTTACCAGAAGGACAGATTTACAGTTCCTAGCTCATGCTAAATATATCTGGGAAAAGTTGCATTTCCCTCTGTGTACTTGACAGAAGGTTGCAGGGATTGTATTATGGCGCATGCAAGACATGAGGTTATTGAGTGTCACTTACTTGCTTTTCCCCAGGATTTTCTTAATGTGCTCAGTAATCTCTTTGTTGGTTTTATCTTCCACATCAACCAAAACTTGTTCTCCATTGTCTGTCAAGACAGATTTGTAATAACCTATCAATTCCCTACAACGTGCCCAAACTAAGACAGCTCCTCTGGCGCTGCCGGGTGCAGCGTAACGTTTACACGGGAAGAGCAACGAGGACGACTCGAGGCGGCGGCGGGTCACAGGGTCGTTCCAGCCCCCGGCGCTGCTCT